GCGCACGCATGCTCGTGGCCCCATTTGTGTGCGCGCATGTAAAATGTTTCCCTTCCCTTTCCCTCCAGTCTGCCAACCGAGAAAGGTTGGGGATCTCTGCTTTACAGCACTCTCTGAGTGACTTATAATGTCAGCATATTGCCCCCCAACAATCTGGATCCTCATTTTACCAACTACAGAAGGATGGAAGGCTGAGTCAACCTTGAGCCGGTCAGGATCGAAGTCCAGGCTATGGGCAGAGTTTTCCTCCAATACTGCATTCTAACCACTGCACCACTATGGCTCTTATATTTGCAAAATCTCTTACTTTAATCTCTTCTTAGGAACCGTATCCTTACTGCTAACTCCAAAACTCATTCAAGCCAGATGAGCTTTGTTGATATCTTTACATTACAGTAATTTAGGGTAGAAAAAGGGGCCAAATGTATCTAAATCAGTCATCTATAACCTGAAATCTCTCAGATCTTGTTGAAACCCCAATTCTCAGAATTCCCAACTGCTATGCTTGATCAGGTAGCAAATGTGAGACCTGGCCAAAAATACTCAGCTGATGCAGAAATACAAAGAGGGGTCAGACAGGGATTTATTCTGTCTCCATTGTTGTTCAATATCTACTCTGAGTCTCCACTGTTGTTCAATATCTACTCTGAGTCAATCTTCAATGAGGCAATGGAGAACATCGATGCTGGCATCAAAGTAAACGGTGTTTGGATCAACAATTTAAGATATGTTGACGATACAGTTCTGCTTGCCAGTAAGCATGAAGACTTTCATCTTCTCATCAACAGAGTCACAGAAATATCTGAAAAATACAGCTTGAAGCTTAACACCTCAAAAACCAAGATCATGGTCGTCACCAATAAATTCGGAAGGAATACCATTAGAAAAAGTTGAAAGGATCACGCACCTTGGTTCTAATTTACATGAAAGCTGGGACATGACCACTGAAGTAAAGACAAGGATAGAGAAAGCTCGAATAGCATTCTTCAAAATGAAAAAGGTCTTCTGCAGTGACGACATAAGCCTAAGATTGAAAATCAGGCTTGTCAGATGTTATATTTTTTCTATCCTGCTCTATGGAGTAGAGAGTTGGTCTCTGACAGAAGGCCACCTGAAGAGACTAGAAGCATTTGAAATGTGGATTTACAGGCAGCAGTTACGTATAAGCTAGGTTGATAAGATCAGAAATGAGGAGATGATAAGCCATTTGGGAAAGCCAAGGGAAATCATCAAAACAATTAAAAAACTAAAGTTAGAATATTTCGGACATGTGATGTGACACCCAGAAAAATATGGCATACTCCAGGGAAAGATTGAAGGCAAACGAGGTACAGGCAGAAGAAGAACATCATGGCTTCAAAATCTAAAGGACAAAATGGTTTGGACAAAACTCAGCAGCACTTCTTCATGCGGCTGCTGATAAAAACAGGATCGCCAACATGATCGCCAACGTCCGATAACGGATAAAAACATGATCGCCAACGTCCGATAACGGATATAGCAGCAGCAGCAGCAGCAGCAGCAGAAGAAGAAGAAGAAGAAGAAGAAGAAGAAGAAGAAGAAGAAGAAGAAGAAGAAGAAGAAGAAGAAGAAGAAGAAGAAGAAGAAGAAGAAGAAGAAGAAGAAGAAGAAGAAGAAGAAGAAGAAGAAGAAGAAGAAGAAGAAGAAGAAGATAATGCTTGATGGGAATTTTGGGAGATACAGGTTTACAACATTTGTAGAGTGCTACATTGGAGAAGGTGGTGTTAACAAATGGACCTCAATTTTTCTTTCTAATCTGCATTGATATAATATCACAGAAACCTTTGTAAGACCACAAAATAAGCCAGTGTTGGTAATACATATTCGTGGGCTTCAGGGGAAATACCACCTTCCTGATAGTTCCTATGGGAGCCTTTTTTATTATTAGAAAGCTGAAAATTTTGTAAAATCACCAAATCTTTTCTTGTCTTAAATCTCATGAGATTTCAAATAATGTTGGCAACATTTTGTAAGCTCTAGTGATCTCTCTAGATGTTTTATTTTAGTGTTCACATCTGCAGCAATCTCAGATATTTTAATAGGCTCCTAAATATACTCTGGAAACAATTGTTCTGGACAAAGATAAACAAGGAAAAAGAAATAAAACGAAATGAAGTTAATACATTATTGTTTTTCATACTGTGACACACAGAAATTGGAGCAACCACCACATTACTAACTATTTGAACAGATTTAAACTATACTATGAAAAAACTAGCCATCAAGCTTTTTATTTTTCCATTCTCAGTGAAAGGGCTGCTCTGCAGTTCCAGATGAATGCTCCCAAATAGATTAAATGCCTCCAAACCAACACGAGGAATATTGCCAAGTATTGTTTGACAAAAAGAAAAGAGCAGAATTCCATTTAATGTCACTCTTATGAGCAAACGTCAGAAATGAAAGAACTACATTGCTTTCTCCACACTAATTTTGATTCCCTGGCCCGATCTCTCACCACAATTTTATCTTTGAGGGTTTCTTGCCCACCCACCAAAAATGGCTTAAAAGTCTGAGAAACCATCTTAGTTCCTCCATAATCTTCTGGGAGGTCAATGTGACATATTTCCTGAAAGCCACTGTAAATAGTCCTTTAGGAAAAGTTCACTGAGACACACATGGCTTAGCTCAGGAAGACGGCAGTGGAAGTAAAGCCAGTTTGCGTAAAGGACAATCTTACTGTACCTTGCCCATTTCCTTTGAGAGCTTCTGCCTGTTTTCAAAACAATGGGATTACTTTTATAGAAAGCTTCAGGGTGGTTCTTTAATAGCCATAGATGAATGTCTACTAAAAACCCACTTCCAAACACCACAAAAAAAACCAAAAAAAATTCAGACTGGAAAAAAAGTTTTCTTTCTTTTTTTAGAATTGTTTGTATTTATTTATAAAGCAATCAGAAGCTAATCTTGCAAAGATTGGGTATAATATGTCACCTTCCAAGATCGACAGGATAACATAATTAACACCCACTATTGTTGCAATCTTATTGTGGCCACCGCATTATTTAGAGATTTTGCAAAGTAATTTCATTCTAGGCAAAGGACATATTTTGTCTAGGCTCAGAGAACATATATTTAAAAAATATGAAAGAACTTTATGAGAATAAGTCTCTGCAGAAAATAATTACAACAAATCTGACAGGCCTAAACATAAACCAGCACCGACACAACAATAGTCACAAATCGACCCACAACTCTAGGGAGAAATGTGTTAATCCGGATTTCAGAAGAAGCGCAAGTTAGAGAGGCCAGCTCATTATTTTAGCACAATAGTTTTAACCCTACTTTCTCTTCTGCCAATGCTTTGCCTTCTAAGTGGGAAATTTAAAAAAAAATGCATAACTACTTTTGATATAAGATACCAACTTCTATTTCCTTCTCTCCCTCTGTGTCTTCTACTTCCCTTTGTTGTTCTTTCTCCTATTGTTTTAATCTCATTCTCACTCCATTTTAACATTTGTAGACCTTTCTCTGTTTTTTATGTTCTTCACCTCAAAGTATTTTGGTAATATCTCCTTTTTCTTAAATTCAAATCCATTGAACTTAAAACTTACAGTCACTATTTACAGGCAATGATCACAGGCCACAGAGACTGGAATTCACATGTTCTGCCTAGTTATATCTTCCCCATTAATTCTAGGCCAATTCAATCTGAACTCTCAACTACTGATTCTTGCTGAGGACCATTTTGTCCTTGGCAAACAAGAAAATAGAAGACTTTGTATGACACCCAAGCTTAAAGGATACTGAAACCTGATATGCTAAAAACAGTTCTGAAACAATGAGATGTTTGAGATTTTGTATTTCATAACATTTTTCCTTTGTTTGTTTGGCAATGTTTATTACAAGGTTAGAAGTAATTCAGAATGAATATTCACTATTCAATACTTTAGCATTTTTTTAACGTAACATGAGTTATCACCCCATGCAAGTTTTGTTTTATATTTCTAGTTTCTGAGCAAGTGTCAACATTTATTTTGATTTTATTTATTTATATTTCATGTTTCTAGACTGTTCATCTCCCTCAAAGGTAGAATAGCAAATGATAAGTTCATTAGAAATATCTGCCAGGTATACTTTTAATGAACATATTTAATAAACATATCGAGGGAAGTAAAGATGGAGAGCTTGGAATTCTTCCAACATCTTGACTAGCAGCAGTCATAGGACGTGTCTATATTTTCTTCAGTATAACAAAGTACGGGTAGTCCCCAACCTAAAACTAAACATTTGTTTAATAATAACAACAACAACAATAACTTTATTGTCACTTTGAATGTACACCAATCGGCATACATCAAAATGAAATTTCATTGCATACAGCTCTCAAAGGGTTACCACCTCCGATATACACTCCTTGTTTGTGGGCAGCTCAAGTTTCAGAACGTCCATTTTAGTCTCTAGGGAGCGAACAACAAGACAGATGGAAACAGAGCTCCATGTTGATTAGCCCTCAAATTAGCTTGTATTCCTGCACAACAACTTCGCCTCCTTTCTTTTTTCTGATCCTGTCTCTTCCACCTTCTCCTTAAAAATGGTTTAGTGACTGTTCTAAGTTATGTCACTGGAAAAAGTGACATATGACCATTTTTCACATTTACAACTGTTACAGCATCCTATAGTCATGTGACCAAAAACTTAATGTTTGGCAACTGGCATGTATTTATGAGGGTTGCAATGTGACCTTCTGATAAGCAAAGTCAATGGGGAAGCCAAATTCACTTCAAAATCATATTATTAACTTAAAACCTGTGATGATTCACTTAGCAACTGGGTCAAGAATGGTTGCAAAACGGGGCAAAATTCACTTAACAACTGTCGTGCTTAGCGACTGAAATTTTGGGCTCAGTTATGGTTGTAAGTCGAGGACTATCTGTGTTTTTTCTTTCTTTGTGTGTTTGGGGACAAGTGCATATGTGTGGCTCCTAGATTTTTACTCTTTCCTTGGGTTGGGACTGACAGGGTATAAATGTTACACTGTGTCACCTAAAAAGTGGGGACAGAAATAAGCAGTAAGCAGAATTCCAAAATGCTGCACAACTATATTGGGAATTGTTTTTCACATCCCCCTGAGCAAGTCCAGCCAGTTTCAAACAAAATCTTTCTTTTGTTGGCTTCCCCTCGCAAATCTGTTTGCATTCTGTTGTTTTCAGAGAGTTATTTTGCTGATGGACAGACAGAGCCTTTAGCAGAGACATGTCCAACACAAGGCCTGAGGGCCAGATCCATCCCACGATGGGCCCAGCTTTGGCCCACGGGGCCGCCCCAGACACAGCGAGGCAGGGGATAGGGCAGGGGTGGCGCCACGCCGTGATCCCTGCATGGTCAGCCCCTACCATCCAACCTCAACGAGCCTCCTGCCTGCCACCCCAAGCATGACGGCCCCGGCAAATGGGAAGGGCAGGAAGTCTCTGTCCTGGTGGGTTTGTTTTCCTATGCTGTGCCAACAAACCCATCAGGACAAGAGTCAACAGTCTATCTGCACTTAAAAGACAAAGGCCACTCTTTCGAAGACAGGAAAGTCCACATTTTGGACAGAGAGGACCGCTGGTTTGAAAGAGGGGTCAAAGAGGCCATCTATGTCAAAATTGAACAGCCCTCTCTTAAGATACGACCTCATCTATCTCCAGTCTACAACACAGTCCTTTCAACAGTTCCAAGAAGGCTCCACACCCATTTGAACTACTCAGGTGACCCTCAAGACACAGATAAGCCTCCAAGTAGCACTAACGACTCGCTAAAAGAATGCAAATGAACAGCTGTCTGCAAGAAATATAAATCCTTCCATTCCCCACCATCTAATCAGAGCTGAAGAAGCTTCTTGGATGAGAAGCGAAAGGTCTTCAAAGAAAAACTATGACCTAGATCACTGAGAATCTCCATAGAAACTTCAACATGGTTATTAGGACTAATTATGTACAATAAATGTTTGAGAAGCAGAGACCATTAGTGCTGTGCCCAGAAACATTTTAATTCATGTTTCATTTTTTAAAGGAGAAGCATTGTGGGACTTAGAAACAAGAATGCATGTAGCTGAGATTCAAATTATGTCTCTACTACCTTCCTGAACAGCTATTGCAGTCCTGTTCCAATATTTGTATTGACAGCCTGATTGGGATGCAGTTAGAGAACAATTCATAAGCAACTGGGTTTTTTTTTTCCCTTGCCAATTTCTCCTTTTGTCAGAAATAACTCATTTTAGAGATAATCGAGGCATCCTCCCCGTTTGGGATTCCAGGGCATTTTGGAAGCAACTGCTTGGTTTTACGCTGCATTTATCTCTGGTCAGCATGTCAGGATACACCTGTATGCCCCCAATAATATGTGAGCAAATTCAAAGGTTAATGAAGCTATATCTAACTTCTCCATGATTCAGGGAGAATGTTCTTACCACTGTGAGGTAAAATCAACAAATTCAGCTGAAAACTTGTCTCCAGGGAGCTGTGGTGATGGTTCTTCCACTACCTGTTTGAGCTGCTGGAACGGCGTCCCCCAGGAGTCATATGGAAACCGCAAGATTGCTAATTCAATCTAGGTCCAAAAACAAAAGACAGGGAGACATCAAGACATCTTCCCGCGACTCTTCACTCCCTCCCCCTCCCATTGTCTCCCCAAAGAAAAATATGAGAAGAAGATACACAAACTCAATCCAATGTTGTTGCATGCTGCCACCTGCAGGCTGAGAGCAGAAATTACAACTTCCTTGTTATGATTTCTGCCCGAGGCTGTGCTTGTCCCCCTCCCTCTTCCATTTTCCCTTGGAAACACTGGGCTCATTTGTTGCCTCTGAGGCACAGCCTGTGCAAGTCTCTGGAGACAGCATGTCTCTGGGAATATTTCAAAGCTGCAGCTTTGAAATATGTGAGGCAAGTTCTTCTGGTTTGTGCAACGTACCCACAGCTTCTCTAGAGGACACAGGGTGCCAGGGGAGAGTCTGCTTTTCTCCCTTTGCCCAGCCTACGAGGGCTGTTGCAACAAAAGGGGACTGATAATTTCCAAGAGAATTATTCAGACTTGCTAGCCGAAACCTTAATGTTAATCCCGAATGCGTATTTCTCTCCTGCAGGCATGGTGCCAATGAAACAAGCTTTGTGATGGATGGTTGCTATAGGGATTTTTTTTTTTCTGTTTGCAGATACGTAACACATGTATGTTGCTGCCTAGTTTTTCAATATTCATCACAAGCAATGCAGAACTATGGCTGAGGACAACAGCTGGAATTGCGAAGATTCTTCCATTTCTGAAAAAGTATAAAAAAAACCCATTCCAAATGTAAATGGATAAACTCTTTGCCAACCACATGGACCAACTGGGGACTAGTTTATAAATTATGCTGCCAGTGTTATATAGCTAACAGTGCTCAATAAATTCTGACTCTGAAAGGGTTTGCTTTTTTTTCTGACTAGGCTTCCCTGAACTGTTTATTCTTTCAGAGAGAGAGGGAGGGAGGGAGAGGGAAAGGGAGAGGGAGGGAGGGAAGGAGAGAGAGAGAGAGAGAGAGAGAGAGAGAGAGAGAGAGAGAGAGAGAGAGAGAGAGAGAGAGAGAGAGAGAGAGAGAGGGAGGGAGGGAGAGAGAGAGAGAGAGAGAGAGAGAGAGAGAGAGAGAGAGAGAGAGAGAGAGAGAGAGAGAGAGAGAGAGAGAGAGAGAGAGAGAGAGAGAGAGAGATCGATCCACTGATCTTCTTTGTAAAGGTGTAAAAAAAGGGGCAAATCATGTGTGACCCTAAAGGAAATTAGAGCTGACCTTGGGGAAATCATGAGAGGTGAAGAAAGACAGGAACAAGCCACTAGGGAGAAACCTGGACAAGTAATTATATAGTCTAGAGCAGGGCTTTTCAACCAGTGGTACGGGTACCACCTGTGGTACATTGGCACCTGGCAGGTGGTACGCGACCATCCTAGAAAAGTAGCGGGAGAGGGGAATTAGCTGAACCAGTGGCAGCACCGCACAAGCCTGAGCGAGAGATGGCTGGAGCTGCAGGGCTGTCAGAGCTCAGCGGAAGCGCCAGGATCAGCGCCAGGATCCAGCTGGAGCTCGGCGCTGATCCTGGTGCTTCTGCTGAGCCCAGAAGAAACGCCGATCAGCTGGAATGTTGCAGCATCTCCAGGGTCTTGTGATTTACATTCAGATGCTTGGCAATTGATTCATATTTATGACGGTCACAGTGTCCCAGGGCATCTAAAAGTGGTACAATGGGTGAAAAGGTTGAAAAGCCCTGCCTTAGAATCTTGAAAACCTGTTTCCCTGGGTCCCATTTTATATGAAACAAAATCAAGGTGGGGTTATTTGAGTTTCTTTCTCATACTTCCTTCTATCTCTAGACCAGGGCTTTTCAACCTTTTCACTCATTGTACCACTTTTAGGATATGGCAACATCCGAGTACCACCAATCGCCTAACAAGCTGTCAAAAATTGATGACCCCCCCAAAAAAGGAAAAAAGTGATAAAGTACAGGTAGTCCTCGACTTACAACAGTTCGCTTAGTGACTGTTCGAAGTTACAATGGCACTGAAAAAAGTGCCCCCCAAGCCACAGCCGAGCAAGACACCTGCCTGCCCACCCGGTCGCACTTTTCCTCCTGTCCAAGGTTTTCATTGTTGTGAGCGTTTCTGTTGAGGATTGGCAGTGGGGGTGGATGAGGGGTGTTTGGTTTTTATTCCCCCCGTCTGCTGGGTGGTTGCAGCAGGTTTTGGTCACTTCACAAGACCCTGATCACTGTGACCGTCATAAATATGAATCAATTGCCAAGCATCTGAATGTAAATCACAAGACCCTGGAGATGCTGCAACATTCCAGCTGATCAGCGCTTCTTCTGGGCTCAGCAGAAGCACCAGGATCAGCCCCGAGCTCCAGCTGGAACCTGGCGCTGATCCTGGCGCTTCTGCTGAGCTCTGACAGCCCTGCAGCCCAGCCATCTCTCGCTCAGGCTTGTGCGGTGCTGCCACCGGTTCAGCTCATTCCCCTCCCCTGCTACTTTTCTAGGATGGCCGCATACCACCTGCCAGGTGCCAATATACCACAGGTGGTACCCGTACCACTGGTTGAAAAGCCCTATTCTAAGGTACCATTCAACAATAAAGCAGCATTCCTTGAAACCCTACTGTGTCTCTTCTTGAAGAGCAGAGTTTCTTTCTGTCCCATTTTATACTCAACAAAGTCAAGGCAAGGGTTATCTTGAGTTTCTTTCTCACACTTTCTCCTTTCTTGGGACTGTGTAAGCTCTTAGAAGGTCAGTTCCCTCTTTAAAAGCTCACTCTCCTTTTCCCCTTAGTGCACGGGTGTCAAACCTGCGACATCACGTGACGTGTCGCAACATCACAACTTTTTCCCCATTGCCGGCAATGGGGTGGGTTCAGTTTTGGTGTGACCCATCTGACCCACGGGTCAGACACCCCTGACACCCCTGCCTTAGTGGCTCTCTCATCCCTTCTCCAAGGTCAGTGACTTTACAGTGACTTGCCAACAGAACACAATCAATTCACTCAAGAACCTTCAATGCAATTTCCCCCTTTTTGAACCCATACATTTAGCCTATAGGCGTCCTTAATTTAAGTGCAGTTAAACCCATTTCAGATTACAAGGATTTTGAATTGCAAAGGTCAGTAGAACAGAATTAATAATAAAATTTGAGGGAGAAAGGGAAGCAGGAAAGAGGGTGGATGGAGGAGTGGTGGTAAGATAAGGAGGAGGAAGGTGTAGGTAAGTGAGAGGGGGGTGCGGGAGGGGGACACCGGACACGTCCGTGAATGTACTGTTTGATGTTGATTTTTTTCTGGTTGACATTGTGATAAAAGATTTATGTCTTTGTTCTTAATGAAAAATTAATAAAAATTTATTTAAAAAAAAAAAAGAATTAATAATAAAATTAATCCTGGCATCATTCCTCAGTAATGTATTCTTACCATTGTAATCCCCAGACTCCAAATATCGGATTTTACACTGTATCCCTTTTGGTTTAGTTCCGGGTTGATTCTTTCAGGCTTGAATGGGGAGTAAAAAAAAAGAGAGAGAGAGAGAAATTACATTGATATATAGTTAGTTTTAACTTTCCACTCGGGGAATGGAAGAATGTTCTACTTCTGCTATGAGAAAAGTAACAGCACGAACTGTTATTAGATCAAGTTAAACTGGTCCTGGTTCTATACGATATGCTTTGAGTCAAAGGCAAAGTAGCCAAATTGTATTATAACCTAGTAGGCAACAGGACAGGAGAGGGTTAGTTTTACAAAAGCCAGGTTAATTATAAACAGCAATTTGTATCCCTTTCTAGGATACAAGGACACCACGCCATGCCCACAGACGTCTGACTGGCCAATGTAATGAAGCCTTTGTAATCAGCGGAGTTGACCAGCAACAGATAACCTTGTCAAAAATAGGGCACTTCTAAAACCCTGACTAATCAGTTTTTAAAAAGAAGTTGAAAATAAAGTGCAATTTTGCACTGTACGCTACTTCTCCATACTGTTCTGTTTGTTTCTTAACTCAACTTCAGTCTGGATTGCATAGACCAGTGTTTCTCAACCTTGACAATTTTAAGGCATGTGGACTTCAACTCCCAGAATTCCACAGCCAGCATTGCTGGCTGTGGAATTCTGGGAGTTGAAGTCCACATGCCTTAAAATTGTCAAGGTTGAGAAACACTGGCATAGACTATGGCACCACTAGAACTGATTGGTCATTGTTCTGCTTCTTGCCTATCCCATCCATGAAAGGAAAAGTATACTTTGCTGGCTGGGTTCAGTATGGACTGGTCTACGAATTCCTGTTTTTGCTCCTCCCGACATTTGCACAAATAGACATATTCATCCCTCTCCATATTACTTTTGACATTAACAAAGACATTATTTTTTTTTCTTTTTCCCCTTATGCTACAATAATCAAAGTAATAGGGAGAAGGTTGTTCTTTTAGGCTGCAAAAACCTTGCAGCAAAGAATAATTGAGCTTCACAGAAACAAAATTAACAATGTACCTTTGCAAATTAAAGTTGTTTTAAAAATAAAGCAAAGAGAAACTCTCCAGGACTGTGGGCAGGATTAGGAAAGCAAGAGGTACATACTTTACCCAGATAAGGCAAAAACTGAAAGGATGCCCACTGGGAGATGTAAGAGTTGAAGGGATCATAAGGATAATTCACTGAGGTACAATCCATTATTGAATCAACTGAAAAATGATTAAAGAAAAAGCAAGCCACCAACACCTGCCAATCAAAACAGAAGATGGTTGTCCAGGGTAGTGATTGAAGGCTGGAAGGTAGTAGGCATGCCAGCTGCTGAAGCCAATTAGAACTGGGGCTGCTACTGAAATGGAATAAAGCATGGAGATCATCATCTCTCAACAGCCTAAGTTAGACATGGTAAAAAAAAACACAATAGTTTTGAATTGCAACTAGAAGAAATAGGTATGAGGTGCATTGTAATTGGCTGGCAATGGGAAGAAGACATCATTTGTTTCTATGCTTGGGAAGTTGTGATTGGCCCATACTAACAATGGGCCAATGGGAAAGTTCAGTTTAAAGAATGGCATAATAAGGTTTCCATGATAGTACTCATTGATGGAATCCTGGCAATCAGAGAACATGCCCTCCTTGGCACTGATTGACCATGCCCACTGATGTTTGGCTCAACAATGTCAAATGATTCTTGGTGGAAGGGAGCTGTGGTGGCGCAGTGGTTAGAATGCAGTATTGCAGGCTAACTCTGCCCACTGCCAGGAGTTCAATCCTGATCGGCTGAAGGTTGACTAAGCCTTCCATCCTTATGAGGTCGGTAAAATGAGGACCCAGATTATTGGGGGCAATGTGCTGACATTTGTAAACTGCTCATAGAGTGCGGTAAAGAACTGTGGAGCAGTATATAAGCCTAAGTGCTATTGCTATCAGATACCAGGCAGAAGTGGGTAAGATCTTGCATTCCCCCAACTCATGATTTTTGACCAGTTAATGTCACAATGTACTGCCAGAATGACTGATACAAAACAATGATTGCCATAGTGGGTGACTGGGTAAAATGTTCTGTGAAAAAAGCTTGAGGTAAAGATCTATTCACAGGCTAATAAAGGTTCGGGAGATGGTTTGGTAAAGCCAGATGGAAGGTCTCCCATCATTTGCCTCTTCACCACTTTATAGGAAGATCATTAAGAGAAAGTAGAGTAAGTCTCCACTCTAAGAAATTCCAGAAGATAAAGGTGTTCCGTTATGATCAGTTCTGGAAATTCTTGTACAATACACAAATTAGTTTCAGTTCAATAAATCTTGTTAACGAAACTGTGTGAGAATCTTGCTTTTGGTTGGAAGCTGGTGCCAATCTTAACAAAACATGTAGCACAACTCCCATCTTACATGTTCTCCAGTTTTAGGGTATTTCTTTAAAAAGACAACCAAAAATGCTGTTGTCTTCCTTAATGCAATAGCATGCAAGCCTTTCAAAGCCAATAATCACATCTTGCTAGTACAAAAAAGCAGCAGCTTGCAAAGACTCCTCAAAAGGGAAGAAATCACAGATGGCAGCCAAAACAACAGTGTTAATATTCTGAAGCCCTGCAGGCTTGGAAAATTTCTCAGCAGAGCATCCTCCCTGACAGGTTTATGCATTTTGCTTAATTGTGATGGAGAAGATCCTTGCAGATTTGCATGTAATCCCAGTAAGTTTATTATAGTATTAAGATGGCATGACAAGCCATGCATGACCTATAGAAGGCAGCCGAGACAGTGACAAATTCATTTCTGCTCAATTCACAATTGGCTCAGTGTATGCAAGCTGAAAGAGTTCCAGCAAAAGCACAGGAATCTCTAGCCAAATGTAGGAAAGTAGATGTATTTCTATAAGAAATGAACTTGATGCTTACATGGTACTATAGTTCTAATAGTAACGCATCAGCATATGCATATAATATTAAGATATTGGGAGGGAAATTCTTAAGAACATAGGAAAAAATCAAAAAAAGGGAAACTAGGAGACTTGCAAAACAGTATTTAATTACTTTCATCTGAACTACAGCTTAGTCAGATCAGACTGCTTCCGTTTCCTCAGACAATAGTGGATTATGCAACTTCCTTTCCCCAAGGAATATGAGATTCTCCAAGTTTGCTCTTAGTTAAAAAAAAAAATCAACATTATTTGGATATACTTGTACAACTTTGAATTATACCTAATGTCCGAGTCTCATGACACTCTCAGATAGTTTTTTTTCTAAGAGGTTCAAGATAGTTTACTTCCAATTAAGTATGCATTGCAGATTGCACATATGCTGCATCTCATTTTCATTTTATAAGTATCAGGTTTCAACTATTTTTGGCTGACCTTAATTGCCAGAGGAGAAGCTGTAATTACCAGTCCCCGTGTGAACTATTAATGTACATACCTAGCTCCAGACATTCCCTTCAGGAAGGCTATAAAAGTGCTACACCACTGCCCAAAGGCACTGACTGCATTGTACTGCAACAGAATCTAACACGCCTCATCTGAGCCAGTCTAACTTGATGAAAAGGTTGGGTTGGGGGCATAAATGTCAAATGCTCTTTGGGATTTTAAAGCTACACAGAGCACTATGACATGATGGAGCATAGCGTTTGGTCTCCCTGTGTTCAAGTGTCTCCAAAGGAGAGGCCAAGAGTTCCAATCCAGCTGTTTCACTGCCTCTGAAAAGGAAAGGCTGGGGAATAGTCAGCTTGTATGTGCAGAGTCAAAGGTTCTCATTCTGGTTTGAATAACACATCAAATTATTCTTTCTGCTTAAAGTGAACGTGTGTATGTGGCTCCTTATCTCCAGTATTCTTACTGCAGCAGCTTCTATCTGGGTCTTTCATCTAATCCTTGAGAAGTACTTAAAACATTTCCTTGAATGTGAAACCAATGAAGTCCTATGGCTGGATGTATGGCAGGAAAGCGGGCACACCAGCCAGCCACAATAGTTTCCAACATGTTTTGCAAACGCTATCTCTATGGTGGTTCTGAATAATAACAAGTCCTCTTCCTAGTTTTGAAGACTGGGAATTGACAGTTCCAAGTAACCTCTTCCTATGTCTCCAATTTCAGTGCTAGTATGAAAATTGGTTAGGAGGGCATGGAACCAAAGACTGATGGCGATAACTTGGTTTTTCGAGTATACATTTAGAAGTTCACTGTATCCTAACTAGTTGTAACAGATCTTAACATTACAAGCTGCAGAAAACTGTATTCTGAAACAGGTCATTATGAACTTGGTCAACATCACTGGCTGGAAACCGGCATTACGAAGCCACATTCTCTAAAGTCATCTTGTGAGACTCTATTTCAGATCCTCCCGTTGACAGAATGTGGTAAGTTCTGATCTGAGACACCATCTTTTCAGTCATGGCACCTTAGAGCAGTGTTTCTCAACCTTGACAATGCTGGCTGTGGAATTCTGGGAGTTGAAGTCCACATGCCTTAAAATTGTCAAGGTTGAGAAACACTGCCTTAGAGCAAAACAGCTACTCTAAAACGTTGCTTCATTTTACAAGATAAGCATAAAGTCATTTTAACAAGTTTTCACCAAGCCAAATCTTTAGACCTTTCTGCTTTTCTACTATTTATGCTGTTTCTATGGTGTTTTGTTGCTATTCAGATGCCAAGCAACCTTGAATACATCAGAAATGTAGAATAATATGTTCATATGTACATACATACATAAAAACTCCTTTTTACAACCCTGTAATACACACACACACACACGGGTCACAAAGAGTCAGATATGACTTAGTGACTGAACAATACATACAGTATGTATGTATATATGTATGTATGTATATGTATATAGAGAATATGTATATATGTGTGGAATAGGAAGCATATATATTTCTGAAATTTAATAAAACAAAGCAAATATCTGTCACTGTGTGCATAAAAAGTGATGTGACAGAGTTTCCCCTGAAGGTTTCATGATTCACTGCACTTACTGCCATATACGGTTTGCAGCCAGCATCCATTGTCTTAGCCACAGAATCAACGAGGTACCCACTAATTCCAAAGTCACACATTTTCACCTGTCCTTGTGTATTAATCAGTACATTGGAAGGCTTGACATCTGCAAAATAAATTACAGTGGAAAGTCATTGCTTGCAAGCACTCCTTTTTTTCTCCTAGTTGCAGATTATGGTGAAATAGGAAGCAGGCTAACATGGGTTGTCACCAGCAGAGGGCACCCACAGCAATACACCATTTATTTGTTGGCTTAGAGTAAAAGGATCTACACACAAAATGCAGGCGCGCGCACACACACATAAATGTATTTTTCCTGTAGACTGTAGTCTGGCATTTATTCCAACCAATAATTCTATTAATTTACACTGAGGAAACAGCTAATGGAGTTCAAACAAAAGGGGAAATGCTTTTAGCTGTATGTTAATTAGAATGAAAAACCTAAAAATTGGCACTAAGACTACTTTCTTTCAAAGTTTCTTCTCTCCATGGAGCAAAATGAAACCTAGTTAATTGTTGATACTTATTTGACTGATCAATTTATACCTTGCATTCAAGAGCTCAAGATGGCATACATAACACACACACACACATCTATGGAGATTCTCAGACATCCAGGTCATAGTTATCCCAAAGATGCTTTTTTCATGAGGCAACTGGACTTTCTGGTTTTTCTTTGAAGATGTTTTGCTTCTCATCCAAGAAGCTTCTTCAACTCTGACTGGATGGTGGGGAATGGAAGGATTTATATTCCTTGCAGACAGCTGCTCATTTGCATTCTTTTAGCTAGTTGTTAGTGCTACCTGGAGGCTTATCTATGTCTTCAGGTCACCTGAGTAGTTCAAATGGGTGTGGAGCCTTCTTGGAACTGTTGAAAGGACTGTGTTGTAGATCGATGATGTCAGATCCCTCCCCCTCTGTTGAGAGAGGGTGTTCAATTTTGACAAAGATGGTCAAAATTAGAAACTGCAATTGGGGCCAGCAATTCATTCACTAAGTGCGGTGTCACTAAACATATCGCATGATGCTTATAACTTCACTTCCTCTTTGATCATTAAGTGCCACCGTCATTAAGCAAAAAATCACGTGACTGCAATGTACAATTTTATTTCCAGCTCCTTCATTAACTCTGCTTGTCACAAGCCAGTTGTGAACCCTGCAAATGACAATCATATGATTGCAGGATGCTGCAAGAGTCATTAATGGGCCTGGAGACTCCATTCGGAGCCAATCAAGTGGCTTGTTTGATTCTGTAGTCAATGAGGTGGGGGTCGGGAGAGTTAAATTGTAAATTTTTGTGAACTTTTAATGTTGTATGCCACCTGGAGTCACCATGTGTGAGCTGGGAGGCTATGTAAATTTGTTTAATATATAAATAAAATGCAAGGATTGGTTGCAGTGCTATTTTTTTACAGCGCTGTTTTACAGGTTGCAGTACTATTATATTGTAACTTCGAGCTAAATAAGGCAATTGGTGAGTCAGGACTACCTATATCAGTGGTTCTCAACCTTTTTAATGCCGCGACCCCAACCGGTCGTAAGTCAAGGACTAAACCGGTCGTAAGTTGAGGACTAAACCGGTCGTAAGTCGAGAACTAAACCGGTCGTAAGTCGAGGACTACCCAACCGGTCGTAAGTCGAGGACTTTCCCTACCCGGGAGTGCCCCGCATGTGTGGTTCCGCCCCCTGCGCCGGCCGAGGCGTAGCTGGCAAGTGGCAGAGACGGAGCAGGCCGACCACCAGCTGGCCCAGCCCAAGGGAGGTAAGGCACCCGCCGAAAAAGGGGAAAAAAATGGCGGACAAAAAAAATGACGGACAGCCTTGCTTGGCGACCCCCATGAAATGGTCGATCGACCCCAAATGGGGTCCCGACCCACAGGTTGAGAACCACTGACCTATATAATCATGATGGCACAGTGGTTAGAATGCAGTATTGCAGGCTAATTCAGCTCACTCCCAGGAGTTCGATCCTGACCCGCTCCAGGTTGACTCAATCTTCCATCCTTCCGAGGTAGATAAAATGAGGACCCAGATTGTTGGGGGGCAATATGCAAATTCTGTAAATCGCTTAGAGAGGGCTGTAAAGCACTATGGAGCGGTATAGAAGTCTAGGTGCTACTGCTATATAAGCATCGTGAACATGCTTGAGGCCTTTTTTTCTACATAAGCGCTAATTTGAGATCATGGCAGTCACGAAGCTTAGTCTACCCATTTTGGATTCACCATCTCTTACAGCATTCAGACAGAACGGCAAGTGCGACTAAGTGTATTTCCTGTAGTTTAAAGCAAGATATGAAAAACATCCACCAACACCTTATTGTGAAAACAGACAAACAAGACCTCTGATTAGCACTAAGGCACGGGAGCATTTCACAGAGCTTTGAGGTGAAAGCTGGCTCTTGACTTGATAACTATCCACTCATCAAGCTACTGCAATGAAAAATCTCTCCGTCCTGGATGTCTATGAACTGCAGTGAGGCAGGATTTCCAGTCACAATCCAGAGGACAGCATGTGACATTTCAGTTGTATTGCTGATTACTCAAGGCATATGAACCAGTTTGTCCCCTAAGTCGGAAGAAACGTGGGCTAACTTTAGTTGCTCTCTATAGCCCAATCCCTGCTGCTGAGGAAAGTCCCCCTGAACCTTAAGGTGAGAGAAAAGCACCACAGACAAGCAAGAAGGCCCTGAATACGTGGTTCTGCCAGCGGGACTGGGGAGCCCACAGCGGGATGGAGCCCATTAAGTGACTGGTATGAGTGTGTGTTGTTGCCGGCGTGGAGGGGGTTATTATTTCATTTTTTATTCTTTTTATTTCTTTTATATTATGTTTTTAATCTCCTGTAAGCCGCCTTGAGCGAGTAGGAGGCAATATAAACTGAAAGAAAGAAAGAAAGAAAGAAAGAAAGAAAGAAAGAAAGAAAGAAAGAAAGAAAGAAAGAAAGAAAGAAAGAAAGAAAGAAAGAAAGAAAGAAAGAAAGAAAGAAAGAAAGAAAGAAGGAAGGAAGGAAGGAAGGAAGGAAGGAAGGAAGGAAGGAAGGAAGGAAGGAAGGAAGGAAGGAAACCGTTATTCCAAACGATGTAATACAAAATAACAGCACGGCATTCCACTGCCTGTCCAAAAACTTTAGGTTAAAAAAAATCTGGGAAAACAGGAAGCTACTATTATGCAAAAGCACTACTGCCCAGTGCCCTAGGGCTGCAGTGACATCCCCACAGGGGAAGGGGGATGAATTAAAATGTTCGACTAAGGTTTTTCTTTATCGTTCACTTTGAACCCATAGCAGTTAAATGAAATATTTTGCTTCTTTAAAACAAACAAAAATCATGGCATTGTAAAACTGAATGGGAAGGGAGGAAAAGGGGGGGGGGGGGAGGAGAGACAAATAACTGTGGGTCCTGGATCAAGTAACACAGATCTTTGATCAAAAAGTCCTGCCACCTCTTTCACAGCTGAGAAATATGTGAGAATTGCACCACGTTGGCGCTTACTTACCTCGGTGAATTACAGAGAGTTTACTATGTAGGTGTTCTAATGCTTTTACAATCTGAAACACACAACAGAGAGACAGAGAGACTGTAGGCTGTAGCTGCTGAAGCAGAAATAGTTATTTCAGGGCACAAGTTCACCCCCCCCCCCCCATTTCAACACTTAACCTCAGGTAGAGACAGTCTGGGGTTGGGCATTTTGGTAATTAACCAGCAGAAAAATGCTGAGCCTGCAGTCTAATACCAACATAATAAAACATGATTCATGCCCAAAACCTTTAGCAGCGTGACCAAGTGAAAGATATAATGAGCCCCTTTCTTCCAAGGGTCAGACTCTATCCCTCCTTTCCCCCTTGATGGGGGGAAATTTTTGATTGGAATTCCAGCCCTCTCCCAATGGATCAAAATATTTTTACAGCAAGGATCTAGCCTGATTATTTTCCCCCTGCAGAACAGAACAAGTTAGGGGATGACGAGTGTGTTGGTTACTAAGCACGGTAAGTTAAAAAAAAATCCCCCTATCTCATGAGCAAGATTGCAATAAAATAAACCTCCTATTGTACAGGTAGTCCTCGACTTACAACAGTTTGCTTAGTGACCCAAGTTACAACGGCACTGCAAAAAGTGACGTATGACTATTTTTCACACTTATGACCCACTGCAGCTTCTCCATGGCCACGTGATCAAAATTCAGAGGCTTGGCCACTGACTTGCATTTATGGCGTCTGCAGGGTCCCCGGGTCATGTGATCCCCTTTGGTGACCTTCTGACAAGCAAAGTCAATGAGGAAACCAGATTCACTTAACAACCGTGTTATTCATATAACTGCAGTGATTCCCTTAACAAATGTGGCAGGAAAAGTTGTAAAATGGGGCTCAGCTGTGGTCATAAGTTGAGGACCACCTCTACAAACACCCCAAAAAAAAATGTCAAAAGGTTAAACAGATTTTTGTCTCTGCGTTGGTCCTGACCTTTTCCTTTAATGAGAGTGGTTTCTTCCCTGCCACCGTTATCAAAAATACTGCCCACCACTTCCATCAATGTATTCCAGGAAACATTTAAGGGACAGTAACTATATAATAATTTGGTACATCTGCTTTTACTGCAGACCATTTCAAAGTGATTTTTTTTTTTTAAATTGAGGCAGTTTGTCTGCGAACTGACTCAAAGCAGATCAGGCTGCACCCGG